CCACTTTGAAAAATAAGAGATTTCAGACCACATAAATTTCCTTCTTTTATCTTCTTGAAGTTTAAGAACCATGTTATTGAGAATGTGTTGTGTCTGATCTCTGAAGTAGTCATCAAATGTCTTCAGCCAACCTATTAAACATAATATCACATGCTGAACAAATTAAACTGAATACATTGAGATAATATCAGGGTTTCCCAAAAAAACAATCATTTTTTCATAACAAAAATTTGACTATCACTAAAAAAAACTAGACAGTAACCTTTGACTGTTTAGCAAATTTGAATTGAAAAAATAAGAAAACAGATTTTTTTTGAAGTATATCTATATTTAAAATAACTTGGAAACATTTTGAAAGCATAAAGTATGGTGATGATAATGCTAATATCTTACTGAGGAAGTCAATTGCCCTACATTTTAAAGTGGAAGAAAGTATTAATTTTTAATTAATATTAAGAAAAAGTACCAAGGGAGTTCACTTCAGGTCAACTGCCTTTTGTTACAAACAACTTAAGCAATAAGTATGTGTATTTTGGATTTGTTTCATAACTCCAGCCATATCACTAAGGAGAAGTAAGAAACTACTTTCTCAGCAAATGCATGCAGATAATTTTTTTTATTTTCCTAGAAGCTCCTGAAAACTACATCATTCTTAACCCTTTCATAGAATTCTGGGAACAAAATGGTGGCCAACAAGAGATACAATCATCCTGTTACTGCTGCAACCACAAACAACAACAATTAAGACAAAAAAAAAAAACCTCCACAAAATCGGTGCAAATGGAAACAAGCGTTATATAAAAAAATCAATAAAAAAACTAAATGTAATTTTAGTAAATGAAAAATGAAGCCAATTTAAGTCTTTGAGATTCCATTCACTTCTGTATCAAATGAAAATTATTTTCTTACGCTAGAAACTAAGTATTATGAATCTCTTCAGAACAGAATTTCTGAAAATCACTGAGTTTTCTAAAAGAAAAGAATGGGACAGTTAAAATTAATATATGCTTAGACACATATGAGATCCCAAATATCAAGGATTTCAAAAGGCCACAACTTGA